TCGGTGACCTGGAGACTTCCTCTTGCAGTTCCTTGTTTTCTCTGTCTAGTATCCCTATGCTGGGCTCCCGTGTGGCCGGATTCAGTACGTTAAACCCCCACCATTACGTTATACGTGAATGCTAATAGGGCAGCCACGTTGGTTGATCAAAAAGGGTCGCATTGACGACGCTCGTAATGTCCTTGCTATGCTCCGCGATGAATCCGTCGACAGCCCCGGTATCGTTTACCAAATCGAAGAAATCGAAACATCGCTTCAGGAAACTGGACAGGGCTCCTTTAAGGATATCTTTCGGAACGGACCGGCACGATTCGCCAATCGGGCGTTCATCGCTGTCTCATTGCAGATGGGGCAACAGATCTGCGGGGCCAATGCGATAACTTTCTACCAATCGACTATATTCGAGACTTATCTTGGTATGGATGGGACTCTATCGTTGCTTATGTCCGCGGTTCTTTTCACATGGTGTGCCCCTCCTTCATTATCGCTTCTCATCGTGAAATTAGTATTAGTGTAACAGGAAAATGCTGATTGCCCCCATCGGCACCCTGACTATCGACAAGGCTGGACGACGGAAATTGCTACTTATCGCCTTTGGTGGGATGGGCATATGCATGGCCGTGATGGCAGGGTGCATCTCCCAGCCATCCAATACAGCCGCCGTTCATACCGCGGTTGCATCCATTTTCCTTTACGTGTTCTTTTACGTTAACGGGTGCATTGGCTTAACATATCTCTACTGCTCCGAGATCGCACCACTGGCTGTTCGGACACAGATTACCGGCATGTCGACGGCGTCGTCGTGGACATTTAACTTCCTGGTTGTTGAGGTCGCGCCTACAGGGTTCAGCTCCTTGAGCTGGAAGTATTTTATCGTTTATGCAGCCACCAATTTGGTCTTGCTCGTGCCAAGTATGTGCTTGTCTTCATCTTCCATTTGCCTTGGTCATGTGGTGCTGATGTCAATAGTGGTGTACTTTTTCTTTCCCGAGACGAAGAGTCTGCACCTAGAGGCCATTGACAATATCTTCCTTGATAGTAAAAACATATTCCAGCCGGTTTCTGCGGCTAGAGATATGAGGAAGCATGGTCGACTGCAGGGTGCGCATGGGGGCTTGCAGGTTGAGGAGAAGGCGACAGAGGAGCATATGGAGGTTGTCTAGGAATACTAGAGAGCTGTCAGGTATGGAGTCACGTAAGACGGCTTAGAGTTGGTAGCTAGGTCGAAAGGGAACAGGATTTAGGATAACCAGGAATAGAGGAGTAAGAGGTGTAAATAGAATAGAAAACGGTAGCAGACAATGGATAAGGAGAGCTAGATGGGAAGGCTCAGGGTTCCTGCTTAACGATGATCATTTAGATGTTCCTTTTTGGCCACTATCAGCGCTAGCAGATACAAGGTTGGTGGGAAGTACCACCTTTGTCCCCCAAATTCATCATATTGCCTCTCTGGCTTTTCCGTGATGACTCCATCAAGCTCTACGACGCACAAGGCTTCGTGTTGCTCCTCTAGAACGATAGATTTATTTTCATCGGAAATAATTCGTTGAAATCCAGTCAGATTGTTCATTGTAGTCCTACATCCTCGGGTACCTGTGATGCCCCCGTGGTCATATTGCCACTGGCTTCCATACATGGGCTTATTGAGAATTTAGATAGATGCGAGAGTAGCATACAATCGAGCACTTCCCTGTCCTGATCCTCGATCCCTTGACACAGAAAACTACAAGGCATCTGACATCGCCTGCCATCCATGTTATGTCCCCCTTTCACAGCTAATATTTACTAAGCCTTTAGCTACGCGCCTAGGCACATCTACTCTGGAGGCACCGATGTTTATCCGCACGCGGGTTCATTGTTGGCTGAAAACTGCGGATTTGTGACGGAAGATTACCCGAGTCATCAGAAGGAGTTTAAGACCTTTGACGACGGATACTTGGATATGCGTGACTGAGCATGTATCGTTGGAAATGAGAAGCCGTTCGTACAAAATGTATATTCACTGAATTTGTTGGTATGGCTGGTTACGCGCCTGACTTGAAATCGCAGTGCGGAACATGCCAAAATGGTAAAGAAAAGGTGTAGAAAGTACGTATAGATAAGCTGTGAATTAACTGTGATTGAAGAATAGCGGGCCGCTATTGTAGCTATGTGGGTATATCAAGAAAATGCAAGCTGCCACGTAGTAATATTTGCTTATTCGATCAATTCTAGGTTTTAATATCCATGATGCTATGTCTACCTGTGGAAATAGGGAAGTTTGCCAGACCTCTTTGCGGGAATCGGGATGAATTTAGGCTGGAATGGCCCGAGAAGGCAGGGATGTATCGGCATAGCCTTATGCATACAGCTCGACGCAGTACCATTTCTCCTCTACATCTTGATCTGACTTATATCCGTTAGTAACACGAAAATTCTATTACTCGGAGTACGCGCGAATATCACCTTCTCAGACTACCAACAATTATATAACCCACTTGAATATTTGATCGTAATATTCCTGGTGAGCACATCCAAGACTACCCACAAAGTATCTCGGACAGACGAGAAATCCCTCATCATCTTGCCACCAGATAATACATCCCTCTCGGCCGCCCTGACCCAGTCCCACAGAATGCTATGGCCATTAATGGCACTCTGGGACGACATCTACACCAAGTTGAAGCAAGGAGGGATTCCTCTGTCGGACACATCCAACCAGGGCGCAGGCGGGATTCTTAATGAACACATTCAGGATGATCGAAGTAGGTCAACAGCAAACGAAAATAACTTCGGCAATTTACGACATCGGATATAGTAGAGCTACCTTACGACTCGTGACATGTCTAAATAGGTACGACCATTCCCGGGATTCCCTCTTGATGGTCAACAATTTCCATGATCAGATCGCTCGGCCGATCATTGATATTGCACATAACATGGGTGCTCATAACGGTATATTTCGCCAGTGTGCCGCAACAAAGCCCCAAGATTCATGGGGCATTTCTACGCCGAACCTTAGACCCTAGAATCTGGAGAGACTCTTGTATCTGAAGCTCCATGCTCTTTCAGATAGACGTGCGTTCGAGGAAACCCTGGGCATACTCCAATCTCCATGCAAGCTATCAGGACGTCCTTCAGCGTGTAGATATTTTCAACACCTAGGAAAGCCTATCACTCCTATTTATCGGACCACCGCACTCTCATCTCCGGTGTGATGCTAGGAACTGTGTGTGCAAACTCTACCTCCAGCCAACAATCCCAGTCCCAATCGACCCAATCTGAAAATGCATATAATTTTGCTTTAGCAGCCTTCCAACGGAGAAGGGGTGAAATATAATGCCCCAAAAAATTGTTCACCCGCATTGCAATAGGACTGTCTCGTCGACGGTTGAACAGAGCATCCCCAAAATCAATGAACACTATCTGAGGCTGGCTATCCACTGCATATCTGATGAGAATGTTCCGTGGCTCCAGGTCAATAAGCCAGATGTTCTTTTCATAGATACGGCTTTCGAGGTCGACAATTGCTTTCATAATATATTGACGGGCAGACTGAGAGAACAATGTTGGTTTAGCATCTTCCATGGTGGTTCCCTGAATATGTTCGATGAGAATCATTCTAACTGCCCGTTTACGTGTTGAATCGATGGGTAAATCTAGGGAGTATGACCCAAAATACTTCGGGATACCGCGACCTTGGAACTCGGCAAGGGCTTCATACGCATTGGCTTCGTGGGTGTAGTGTTTGTCCATGCAGAGAAATGGGTTGAGATAACCTTCCTCATCGTCAAAATAAAGCGGGTCATATATCTTTGCAACAAGTTCTGTGCCATCCTTCGGGAGTGTTTGAGAGTTCGACGCGATTAGCCGAACAGTGAATACTTGCGAGTTGTGGCCATCGCCCCCTTTTAGAAGCTTGAGGACTTCCAGGCTAACGGCATCATTCCCTTTATTCCCGGGTAACGGGGGTCGCTGAAGACATCGTTCGACTGGACTCATTCGCTTTCTTTCTATCCTGTCGCTGTCGCTACTCGAGCAACAGCGTCCGGTAACTAACGTTGGTGCTGAGACGCTATGAGACTCTGCAGTGAACCTCCATCCAGTAGTATATGGCACTGGAGGCTTGGGAAGCTCTGTAGATGGGGTATCAAACAAAGATAGATTTTGCTGGAGATAGACCATTGTCTAATTCACTTGCCACTGCGGTTTGTCTTGATCTAGTCTGAAGCCCCTGATCGATGACAATTTGCAACGCACACTGTGGCCTTTGGAGAGGAACGAGAACCCGGTGATTCGCCCCTTGCCTCGCCCGCCGGCTTAATGATTTTCCAAGCGCCGTTTCAAGGTTCCCTGCAAGGTCTGTCACAAAGGCGCCGTCAACGAGCAGAACTTGTGAGACCAAGGTGTTTAGAGGGGAATAGTTATGCAGTAGTAAGCAGAGGTACACGCAGTGAACCACGGTCTCGAATGCTGCTAGCCAAGACCCTTAGGAAGACTATTAAAGTTCCCCCCACCGACTAAAAGTTGGCTCGCTACTTCTCCGAGACATCCCGGATCGTTGAAAGGAGACGAGAAGCTTCAATGTTTCTGCACAAAATATGAACTTGGTCTCCACCACGGTGAATCATCCGGAGCCGGTAGGGGCTGTACCCATGAGGATCTGTCTGAAGATCATTATATCGATCTTCAAAAAGGATTAGAGCATAGTCGTTGATAAGTATGCACATCTGACTTCTCACCGACCCATATGTTTCCTGTTTTCATGTTCAGATATTATTGGTGAAGTATCCACTGGCTTGCTGCGCCCCTTCGTCATCAATAGCAATACATGCTTCCTAGAGAAACAAGGAGTATATCATCCTTAGAAAAGTGACTTTATTCTCACTTCCAGCCATGAATTAGTCGATCGGTTATTGAACGGGTGGCTATCAATTAGTCAGGAGCTAAATAATTTGCGCTGTGTAATGCCGATTATAATAGGGAATAGCAAATTGATTACATTGATCTAAGGAGTACGATTAGGGGTGGTAAACGGGGTTTCCGCCGTTTTCACGCCTCTGCAGCACCTCAACCACTGCTTGCTGATTCAATCTAGCAGCCAGCTGAATAGCTGTAAGTCCTCTACTGTCTCTCACATCCTGGTCGGCTCCTTTGCTAAGGAGGTAGCGTACCACATCCACTCTTCCGAGCTCAGATGCCCGGTGCAGAGGTGTTCCTAGTGACATAAAACACAAAACCGAGAAGGTTGGGAGGTCCTCGTGCACAGGAGTGTTCAAAGGCGCTCCCTTTTGAATTAACATTTCCAACACTTCAATAGTGTCAGCATCGCGTTGAACAGCATGATGAAGCAGCTGGCCTGGCTGGATATTCTGGCAATAATCCAACATTAGGCGGATAGTGGAAATGGGGGCTCTTTCAACAGCCCACGGAAGCGGGGAAACGTCTATGAATGTACGCTTATTGGGATCGGCACCATGATCCAAAAGCCAAGATACCATCTCTTCGGTTTCTATGGCAATTCTAGGAGGGATTAACAGGACGTTAAATCGCGGAAGATCGGAGTATGGACTCACCCGAGGATGGGGGGTTGAGTCTCGCACATTGGCTCGTTGATATCCAATCTTTTTCAATAAAAAAGGCGAGCGCATTCTTAGATCTCCACCTAGTTGCGCTCCGTGCGTAGATAGAATGTGTGGGGAAACCATGATCCACGAGCGCCCGCATGAAATCCACGTTGTCTTGTTCCACAGCCTGCCCCATGATAATACCAAAGTCATCTACATGGAAGTTCTCCGACGACGATTGCGCCGAGTCGAGGAGGTCGCGGAATTGTTGGATATCCCCATGAAGGCATAGTTCTCTTGCTCTCAGAAGGATGTCCCGAGAGGTCCGGCCCGGAACTTGATAAATCTCACTCCAGGTGGAAGGCGAGGCCGAACTTGAAGCAGGTTGCACGTTCATAACTGTCCGAGGTTGTCAGAGACTCTGTGCAGAATATATTTTTGGAGCAGTCGTAAGTAGTTGGAGCTTAGCTCGGATGGCTGGCGCGCACTGTGCATTTAAACTAATACTGAGTCACTACACCGAAAGGTGACACAATAGCCGCTGATGTACATCTGCTCACGTGGCCGCCGCTGTATATATATATCATTCGCGATTTTCCGAGCGCGAAGGGTACATGCGATCCATCTTGCATTGCGCGTCGGAGTATGCCTGGCTACGAATGTAGGAGTTCCACATTAATTGGTCCTACTTAAAGAACACAAGGCATATGCCGGTGATATAGCGTTCTTAGCACTGTGGGAGAGTATAAGTAGCTAGGTTCATACGTGCTTCTTGGGAAGGGAGTGGTTGTATACTAAGATACCAAAAAGTCCCAAGGTGATCCCTTAACGAGAATATTGAAAATGTCGCGATTAGCCCGTTGGGTGCATGCTCACCCGGCAAACGTGGTCGTTGTGCCGATGAATGCTGTCAGAGTAGTATCACTACATGAAATGTTTGCCATCGGCACAGAGGCTCTGCCATTGTGATAGCATCTTCCCGTAGTGCTATTCTTCCTCATATTCCGCCTCCCCCGACAGCATCAGCATCTGACCCATATGCCGGGGACAACAATGTTCGTCGGTTGATGGCAGAACTGACCGCCTTATACATGCGTTACCGCGACGAATAATTTGCCAGCCATAAAGATACTGTTATTGTATGTGCCCTGCATCAGGGTGCGATAGCCCTATCTGACCAAGTGCAAATTATGCATTCAGCACTTAGTCGCTTGGGGCCGAGTGTGTGGACTTATGATTTACCCGGAAACTACACCGACCCGGGACAAGGAACTGTGCTCGCTATCGGTAAGCGCGGGCTCACCTCCCTTGGACTCCCCAATGATGGTCGCGCTCGTATTTACGTCGAGGACCAGCAATATGTTCCGCGGCCGCCGTCCTGATATGGTATGCTGGAATTGTCTTCCTATCATGGTCTACAACGCCGGCCATCACGATACGACCGCAAGGGCAATCTCTCAGTCCATTAGCATATCCTACCACCAATAGTATGTTGTATGCAGGTTCTGCAAAACTGAACACATAGCATTTCAAGTCTAGATAGCAGAAAAATGTTAGCCGTCAGGGTGCGAAGGAGGCCAGCACCCGCCGCCGTGTGCAAGGAGAGTGTGGGGAGAGGGGAGGCGAAATATATACATCTGTTGTCCTGGCGAATCCATCGTAACAGTAATACTAATACCCAATAAACCGATAACCTATCTTCCTCTAGTCCTAGGAAGGATTACACCCTATCTTTGCGGTGCTAAAATCAGAAAGTATATCATAAGAGACTAGGAAAGGGGCTCACAACAGCTGGGCTTGCTCAGTTTCTACTCCATCGGGGGGGACAAGCTGTAAGATTGCATGACAACTTATATGGAGACCACAGACCGGCCACCTACACTAGATTTATACAACATAACCATCCCCAAGACAAATCTTTAGTCAGAACACGTCTCATGGTACTCCAGATCAGCAGCTGTTGCAAATGTGATTTCAGTAAGAGACATACCCGACTTGGCCCGGAAACTCTTGTACAAATATATATAGCTTAAGTACATGTAGATAAAAGAGAATTGTAGCTCGAGTCCCTCCTAGTTAATCTTATTGCTTCCCGAGAAGCGGCTAGCAGCCCAGCCCTCAGGCTGGCAAGGCTTTTTCCCACGATTGAACGCGTGCAAGGCTGGCACCACTGTACCGATTAGCTGTCATGGTATCCGATAATAACTCCTCTCGACGATTATTGAAATCTGACGAGTATCTGTCTACGATGAGAGAGATGGTGAACGTAACGGATCTGACATACATAGCAACATTATACTTCAAGTACGGGTCTTACGCATGAAGGCTGTAAGGATTGTACTAACTTTCAGGAGTGAGACGTATGATTTGCAATATTGTGAGGGGAGACAGGCCCTTAAGGAGTGCAGAAATATGGTTTCATGCCAGTAAAGCCAGTATGGGGTACGCCGAGCTTAGCACACTACGATACTACAGGTCAAGGTCAATAAAGTTGTGCCTCAAATTATCTGTCCCGTGACCTCTTCAATATTCGCAACATCGATCTATAAACGGAAAACTTCCGGGTGTACCCGGTCAATAGTATATGCAACCCATCTTGCAAATAAATTTAATGTCTTAGTACTGTAAATTATATGCGAAAGGGAAATATACTCGTATTCGAAGTCAAGGCGGAAGTCTAGACATCTGAGAGTTTGTGGCGCATTTGTCAGCTCGGATAATTTAAAACTGACGGGATTGCCATGACACTGACATGAATTAATAATTCAATGATCCCTACCCCAAATACCTGACTTCTCATTGTGATCATAAGGATACAAACTCATAGGAACCTCAACCCACAAGGACTTGATCGAATTCAACTGGAAAATAAAGGCAATGGCTATTCCCGCCCTTCAAGGCTGGCACCCCGGCGAAGTCGCCATCCAACGCCAGCTGGGTTACGCGACCGCCGTGTCATCTCACTGGACTGCGGTCGAAAACCAACTCCGTGAACAACATCAATTATTTCACACTTCAAAACTGCCATTCATTCCGCTGACGACTACGGATGCCGATGGACGGCCCTGGGCAGGAATCGTTGCAGGATCAACAGGAACAGTCGGGTTCGTAGACAGTTCAAGCTTAAAGTCGTTGGTTTTCCGAGCACGATTATGGGACGGAGATCCAATGTTAGAAACGCTCCGGGAGTGGAAACCGCTAGAAGATGATCAAGTTAAAGGCCCAATATTGCAGGAGAGGTTCCTGACGGCTGGGTTGGGGATTGAGTTTTCCACCCGGAGAAGGAACAAGTTCGCCGGGAAGATTGACATGGTAAAGGCGAGGTCAGACCAGGATTATGATTTTCGTGTTGACATCACGGAGGCGTTGGGGTACGTATACGTTCACATCCGGGAATAGTCAAATCAAAGGGAATTAGGACTGAGCGAGATTACAGTAATTGTCCGAAGTATATCAATGTGCGTCAACTCGATCCATACCCACGGGCGAAACCACACATTGTATACCAATCACTGCATATGGCACCGACGGAGGACTTACCTGACGAAGTAATCGATATGATAAAATCCGCCGACACAGTCTTCATGGCAACGATACACAGAACTGACCCCGCCTCCGCAGCAATGTTCCCTTCACACGCGGGCATGAACTCTCGTGGCGGCTTCCCGGGGTTTCTACGGGTGAGGCCATCAGATCGACGGAGCATTGTGCTGCCTGATTACTCTGGAAACAGATTCATGAGTAGTCTTGGCAACATTGAGTCGAGCGGATTAGCGGGCTTTACGATCATTTCGTTCACAACGGGCGACATCCTGTACTTGACCGGTACAGCAAGGAATTTGGTCGGGCTATCTGCCCTCGAAATGATGTCTAGACACGCGGCGGTTACTGTTCTGGAAACTACAGGGTTTACGCTTGTGCGAAATGCGCTTCCCTTGCGACAGCACAATGGATCGGAGGTCGGGCGGAGCCCCTACACTCCCAAAGTCAAATATCTGGTCGAAGAAGGAGAAACGTACGGGGGTGGAATGCAAGGGCACAAGGCAGTGCTTGAAACAGGTATGCAACTTTCTAATGACTTGGCTGTCTTCAGGTTTAAGGTCGTGTCTGAAAGCGGCGTTCAGCCGTTAAGGCTCCGACCCGGTCAAGCTATCGTCCTCGATTTTATGGACTGGATAGGTCCACCGCAGTACCAGCATATGGCGGATTCGGCACCTGGGTCAATAAATGATGACCGCGTGCGAACCTGGACAGTATCTAGTGCGCACGAGGGTATTGATGTTACATGGTTTGAATTAACAATGCGGGAAATGAAGGGTGGCGTTGTGACAACGGCCTTTTTCAATCTGCTTAGGATGTCCCCTCCCAATAGCCGGTATTATCCTGTTTCTCTAAAAGGGAATGTCGTCTCAGATATCGTAGGGGTCACTGGGGATTTCGTGTTGAATAAAGAGGAGGTCAACCTGCTCCTGGTTGCTGGTGGAATCGGGGTGACACCCTTTTTGGCCATGCTGAATGCCTTGAGTAAGCGCGAGAAGGCTGCGCGAGGCGACATTGTGCTCGTGTTATCAACAAGAGAGCCAGATACCATGCTCACCCTAATCAGACGGGCTATGGATATGGTTCCACCGACCGTCACGGTGAAAATAGATCTGTTCACCAGCCGCCCCCTCAACCTGGATACTAGGACTTTGAAGCATGAAGATACAAGCCTCTCAGTATTTGAAGGTAGAGTTGGACCGGAATATTGGAAAACAAGCGTCAGAGAAAAAGAAGTGTTCATATGTGGGTCGAAGGCATTCGCAGACACTGCTGAGGAGGGATTGCGGGCTATTGGTGTCCCAAGTGAAAGAATCCAGAGGGAGGGATTTTATTAGTGTCCGTGTCCGTTTATTGGTTATTCTGAGTTGTTCGGGCAGATACAACAGTATGGGAGTATGTATGGACTAAGAACTCACTTTCTACAGTGGCATCTCGTAGTGAAAATGATGGTAATGCAATGGTGATGGCCTACTGCAAAGAGCTCTAGGGTAATAAGTAAGATGAAGATAGCCACCTATACAAATCATCGGGAGAAAAGAGTCACATGACACTACAGCCTTGCGCTGCAGGGTCAGGCTGACAGCCTGTGTTGGAGCGGGTCCGAAATTGCGTCCCGTCTCATGGGATGAGGAGTTTCGATTGGCCAAACCGCCCCTAGTCCAAGGTCTACTGCGGGGTTGAAAGGCGCACGTCCTCCACTCCTGCTTCCAAAACAATGGGGCTTTCTGCGCAAGTCTGAATCCCTCGCTGTATCCCTCTGGCCCACTCACTTGCCTAAGAAAAAATGGTCGGCGTGCCCGGTCAATATGGCGGATGTGCGACATGTCGCAGGAGGAAAAAAGGCGTACGTTGAACTCCGAGCTGTGACTGTCTCATGCTGATAGCCCCGTCTGGGAAACAGTGCGACAGGAAGACCCCTTTTTGTACCCAGTGCGTTCAAGCTAGGCTCGTATGCGAGGGCTACTCTCGCAACTATTCGGTCTGGGTCAACTCGACAGACGGCGAGAATCGCAAGTACACCAAGTGTACCGGCAGCGTACAATCTTGTAGACGCGGGGCTCCAGAAATCACCCTGCATGAGTCGCTGGCGAGAAGTACCAGGGAGGTTACTTACGTGGGTCTTTATCTGGCAGCGTTCTTACCAAATGGTCGCCTCTTCACCAAGGAGGCCGCGCAGATATCCTCTGCGGGGTGGCTAAGACACCTTGACAAGTTATGTCGGTCTGAGAAAACTCTGCGCTTCATTACCCTTGCTCACGGGCTGTCAATGCTGGCTACGAGAGACAACGACAGCCAGCTGAAGTTCAAGGGCGTCCAGGCACACAGCATAGCGCTGCAGGAAATGCGCACAGCCCTGCGGGATCCACAAAGGGCCTCGGGAGATGGGATCTTGGCCGCTATTCGGCTGTTCCGCTTTTATGAGGTAAGTTGTGCTTCCTGTGAAGACTGTCAGGTCACTAATTCTTGCCAGATTCTCTATGGCGCCGAGTCCCGTGGTTCGGACAAAGAAAACCCTACCCTCCAGATCAAGGGGTACTACGCCCATACTGACGGTGAAATGGCCTTGTTTATGAACAGGGGCTGGCAGAAGGATTGGAGCGAAGCTGGAATGTACTTACTCGTAAGCGGCCGGATTGTGTCAGTAAGTTTCCCACCATCGGATTCCGTCAACGGACCGTCCATATTCATCGGTATATGTGTAGTTCATTCTAGGCGTCGGACGAAGAAAGCGTTCGCCCTTCAGCGACAACAACTGGATGTCAGCACCCTGGAAATACAGAACAAAGTCCCTACTTGATGGTCTGACTGACATTCTGGTTCAAGTTCCGGGTTTATTGGAAGAGCTGGATACCATTAGAGCATCTCCTATTGCGGAGCGTAGTCTACGTGGCTGGGAAAACTTGCTTGGCGAATGTATCCGCATCGAGCAAATGTTACTTGCCTGGAAGGAAACCATGGGAGACAAGCTGCAGACCTTTGATTACACTCAATCGGGGAATCCCCCCAAGATGCCACAGGTGGACAGGGACTTTGCATTGTTGCACATGAGCTGTCTCTATTGGAGCTGCTGTATCCTCCTATACACGACAATCCATATGGCTGCGAATGAGGCGCATCAGGGTCCAAGCTTCACATACTTCTTAACAATTCCCTTTTCTTCTCCAGGATGCCCCAACTACCGCAATGAGCGGAACCCGACTTTGCACGCCCACAGGATAATTTACACCATACCTTTATCACATGGGCCTTATGCCGGAGGCTATGGAGCACTGTGTTCAACGTTTCCGCTAGGCATGGCGCTCCGTTATCTCGCGGTGGCTCATCTTTTCCCGCACGAGGGTGGTGACACCCAAGGCGTGCACAAACTCTCACAAGAACTAGTTTCACAACCGTTCATGAAGGCGTATACCGCACGTTTTGTTGGTCATCTACACAAGGTCGACGTACCAGGGCAATCTCTACAAGACATAGCTGGATGGCATGGGGTAGAACTGAGGATGAGGAGATGGTGGTTTGGCCCTATGCTTGACCACAACCTCGGTGCTATATAGAGAAGTACGGTGGAGCCGCCAATAAGCCGAGCCATTAGTGGGGCATTGGTGGTAGTATCATAGCTAGAGGATTTGGACCAGCACTTCGACAAGATCTGCGCGAGACACCTGCAGGATCAAACCCTATCATACAGCTCAGCAGCACAAGAACAATAAAATCGTAGACGTATATTGCCTTTCACACTTCGATTTAGTCATTTGGTAGTCACCCAATGGACCCTAATAAAGCAAAGGTATAAACCCCTATTCGCCAAGTCTGGCCCTCACGCACAATGATACTCGATCGAGTATCATCTTGCAATGGAGTGTGGCTCAGACCACGATATGACAAGCCTTCTTGTACCTCTAGGGCAGCAAAGATAGACATTGACAGAACGCGTCTGGGTTCCCATCTAAGGCGTTTTAACTTTTTGTAGCGGGCATACGTCAAATGCTGCGATTAATTTGTCAATGTGCTACCCTATGCCTATCGAGGTGAGCGAGATGCAAGACACATACGCCCCCATCTTGCCATGGCCACTCGAGGGAAGTATACATACGTATCTACATGCCCCAGACGTATATATTGCCTTTTACAGTTTGGCTTAGTTCTTAACTTAGAAATAATTCACTGACCAAGCCTAGCCTCCACGGCTCTTTCCAACCCCACGGCCCAGGCATTGGGTACAAGCGCAAAGCAGACCTGTTATATATATATATAAGTCTCTGCGACAATTAAAAGCTGAAGCTTCCCTCTCCGCACAACGGTATTCTGAGATTCCTTCATTTGAATCCGATACATATATTCATACCTCGTCGAGCCCGTTAAGTAAAACATCCAGAAGCTAAGGTCTACACCTCCACTACTTTCTGGCTCTCCGACCAGATAAGCTTCTCTTCCCTCAGCGCAGATTTCACCCAGTAAGTCGTGATGACTGCCCAGACACCTGCCCAAATCCATGGGACAGTCCACCCTATCCGAAGAAAACAATAAGAATTATGTTAGCCTTCACTCTCGGTATAAGAGAAATCTCAGAATATGGGCCTTAAAGTAGGGTACATAACGACAGGAATAGAAACGAAATTGAAAAGACCAATCATGAACTTACCCAACCCAAACGCAAAGGTCTGACTGCCAACCGATGCAAGTATACATATCAAAACAATGCCCATAAAAAGCCCACCAAATCCCCAGAACCAATTGAGATCCTCAATTAGTCGTCGAAACCGTAAGCTGGCTGCATACCTTTCCATTAGGGCGAGACGGTATATCCCGCCTCGGCCCCCGTCCACCGCAACGACATCTTCGATGATCACTAAGATACCTGGACGAAATTCTGTACCTGCAGGCATAGAAGACACTGCGAATGGTTGCCGTATGCGAAGCTTTGCCAGAATTCCGACAATGATGAGTGTGAGGCCAACTTGCAGGAGCAGAATAGACGGTGGCAAAGCTGTCATTCGTACACTAGGAGGATCTTCCGTCAAGCCAACCACAATAATGATTGTGACGAGCACAAACCCCAGAAGATAGTTCCAGTGGAAGAAATCGAACTGTATGATGAAAAGGAATAAGAGTGTGTTAGCAGCGTCTAGGCTATCAATTCTCAGAACTAAACTGGAAGTTTATAGCATACACTCCAGCGACTTTCAGATGTGCGGGGTCGGCAATTCGATGTCGACTTGAATAGTCGCCACGTTCGTATGCCCAACGAGTATAAGGTCGATGCCCCTAGGATTGCGCTCGATACGCTGAGAGCTGATGTTTTGATGCATTAGTATCAGTCACAAGGTAAGAGCAAGATGAGCTTGGAAACATCGGTGGGATACAGACAAATCTTGAGGGATAAATCCGCCCCCCAGTGTAAACTTGGATAGAGCACCAATGGTGCTATACAGGACGTGAGGAGAATAATCCCCCATTGCAAGAGAATATGTAATTTATGCTCACGAAGGTCAAGAGGCAAGGGAGGGGGGCCATGGTTCCCAGCCAGCTGATAGCTGCCTTGCTCAACCATGGTATACTATTCACTTTGGCTTGAGATCACGTTACCAAGAATTGGATGTTGGAAGAAAGGAGGGACTGGAGAATCAAGGAGTGGCGTTCGGGCTCAGTCTTATATGCGGCCAATGTTGTACCTACAGCTAGCATACATTTCTATTTCGATGTACAAATTATTTAAGAACACAATTTGTCTGTCAGCCTTGCCGGACAACCTTGGATGTGTAACCCATTCCAGCTGAACTGCTCAGCCTCGGATTATTAGGATTTGAAAAACATTCGGCTCGGATAAACCATACTTGATTGGGGTATAATCTGCGCATCAAACCCACGAAGCTGTAATATTGACAGCTCAGCTTCGGTTGTCCTATTCGTCCCTACATACCTACACTCTGAAATGTCGAAAACTACCTGTAAGGCTGATCGCTTCTTAACGAGCCAGAACAGACCTGGTGGGGTTGTTGGGGATGCAAGGTTTTCTATTCCCCATCACCTGCAAGCTATTCCAAATCGGGAATCAACGTGCGCTTAGCGCATGACCGATCGACATGAAAGCGCGGGCCCGACCTGCAAGTTTTAAGGTTTGATTAGGAATGAGGGTCCAAGGGGCCAGTCTGGTTAGCGCTGTCAAGCCTCGTAGTAGCCCATTACTTCGACTTGTGACAAGCAGCCTGTTGAAAATCATCGGAAGATTAATTCTGGTCAATCAACAAGCCAAATATGATCAAGTTCAGTGCTCCCAAAACTTTTCAACTGCCATCCAAATATAACAGAGCAGGATTGGTTGCTGTGCTTGAGGAGGCCGTAATGTTGTCTACGCCTCACAACCAGCAGTCATAGGCTTCGTTAAGCGCGCTTCATACGAAGATCTACCACAAGATTAATGGAGCAATACTCAACAGTCTTAGTACTAGAAACCAAAACATTATACTATGCCTGAAGTTATATCTTAGGTTACAATGTAGGCCGTCTTACATCCTAGATACATTAGACGGCTCTTATGTTCTCATTGGGGTTGCCAAGTGGCTTGCAGTAGAATTTTAATTACTCCTGTTCTACCACTCCATCGCATAATTACTTCACAGTCTGAATACAAATTTGGTTCGCCTTTCCCTCACTAATCATTGTTCTTCTCATCGAAGCAGATACATAAACCAGCGACCAATGCCATATCTACACCAGGCGCCACAATCACATTATACGTGTCCTGGCCAAAGAAAATATGACGGGCGGTAAAACGCTTCCTGGAAATGCGAGCGACTGCTTCTCCAGTACTTTCATTAACAATATGGGCAGCACGATCATTCCAATTTCCTGTCATTACCAAGACCACTTGCTTGCCGTATCGGTCAGTACAGGTGGCAGTGGCTTTCGACCCGATAACTGTAGCGGTCAGTTATACAGTAGGAGTGTACCCGGTGGTGCTTACATTTGTGACTGCTCCTGACCTCGCATATCTTGTTACCATCGGGATCCTCCAACACATAGGTTGTATGAACGTGCATATGCTCCTTGCGAATATCAAATAGATGGTTGCGATCCATGTCTTCGACTTTCTTACGTCCGGAAACTGACAACAAAGTACCAGTCACTTTCAGAATTGGCACTCCATCCCCAAGCCTGATATCAAAGCTATCTCCAGAAAGAGAGAGCACCTTCTCCTTCAAGACTAGGACTTGTGGCTCCGTTGCAATGAATTGCTCAAACAACGCGACAGACTGGGACACCGGATGCAGATATGGTTGAGACATGATAAATATCAGCCTTGTTTGAATGACACAGGAAGAATGATGAAGGATAAGTTCAAACACAGCGCCGAACTTATATTAGTATTTACTGCTAGCCTTGCAGCATATGCAAGGCTGTTTTAGACTTGGCATCTCCTCCTGGGTCCGGGAAACTAACCCGATCTAGTTTCATCCTGCGATTAGTACATCTCTGGACAGGCGCTAGTCGCTACAGCCACACTATCCAGGCGGTAATCCCATATTTACCTTCTAGTAGTCCCTTATCCCATGTCATGCGACCGGCATAATTCGTTTTTCGTTAGGGTATTTAAACCTGAATGTCCCTGAACTATAGCACTATAATCTCATTCTTCCATGCTTTCCACATAGAGCGGCTAATAGCCAGGCCAGATCAGACTAATGGTAGTTCTTATATATCTGTCTGTTAGAAACAGGCAGGCGACCCCTGCGAGTAGCTGTAAGCCCCAGAGCAGGATCTCAAACGCAGGGGGTTCACAAAGTATTCCGACGAATCCAAATTTAGCACTCCTGATACTGAACGAATCCCATCCCGTGGATATTTATAACATTAAGCTATGCCTGCGATCAATAAGTCAATATCCGTAAAAGTAGAGTATCAAGATATTTAGTTTCCGTATCTATATTCTATATTGTAAGGATCGGGATCCTACGAGGCTTACTCCCACTGTATGTGTACCTAGGTATATAATGTGTTAGTCTAGTGAACTAGTCTTATTCAGTACTACTAAACGAAAAGATTTCATATGAAAAAAAGAAAGAAAATGGTATAGAAGAATCTACTGGTTGGTAAAGACAATAGATGAGGTTAGATACAGAGGGAGAAAGAGAGAGATATATATAATTACACTGTATAATCTCGATTTGGCAAGGCGTCAATTCGGCTGGTGGCCTTTAAACAAGACTGAAGACTGAAGACAATATGGTGTGCCTGGTCAGAATGTATGTAGAGATCAAGCGCTAAGGATATGAAATAAGCCAGTCACTTCATGTGTAATGCCCGTGGAAGTATGATATATGTGTTAGAGTACATACCGCCGGGAAAAGAAAATTAGACTGAAAGCGGTCTCATACATCTTACTAATATACAGGCAGATCAAACGCATCCAGATCCCACTCCCACGTCTTTAGAGACTTCTGATCATACTCACACTCCATGCTAGTCCCATTTTCATACCACATCGGCCGCAGGGGCCACGCGCAGATTTCCTGGGTCTCTCCTTCGAATGCGCCACTCAAAACGGTGCCATTTAACCTCACTGGCACAACACCTTGCTCCACCCACTCAATTAACGTTTGGAGGGAGGTCTGCGGGAATGGTCCGTTTGGCTGTAGATCATTGTTCATGCAGTGTGAGGCTCCTGGGACAAGGAATAAGCGGTACCACTGGCCCAAGGCCTCGTGGCTCGCATTGTACCCAAGAGTAGGATACATTGTCCTACGTACAGAATCGTAGTAATGCACCGAGGAAGCTGTTGGGATACTCCCATCCTGCTCGCCATGATAATGAAGCACCTTGCCACCCGCTTCGTGGAAGGGCGTCAGATCCGGCCACGTGGTGTGCAGGGAATCCTCATACATTTGCCAGCCATGCTGCACCCATTCTTTTAACGTCCCGTAGGTGACGTTCTCAAGTGTGGGGAGGTTATCAATGTCCAGAAGCTGCAGAAACTTGGTAACAAATTCTCCACCCATGGAGTTGATGTCCAAACCCCAATTTCCTGAAGTTGTGTTGTACGTCGCTTGAGCATCCCAGAAAAGTGCCCCAGGCTGGTAGGATAAATACACCTGCTTGCCATCATCATCTGTCATTCCGTCAAGAATTTTCTCGAATACCTCGACTGCCTGGGCCGAGATGGTCGAGTTTTGCACTGGGACGTCCCCGTCCGCGGCACAGTAATACGCCTTGCCAATCGTTTCGGTGAGATTGAATTGCATCTTACAGAGATCAGAGCGCGACACTACCCCGTCCATACGCCCGTCCATCCCATCGCAGGCGGTGATCGTTTCGTTGACAATGGCCTCAATCTCACATTGAGAGGGGTAGTACCCGAGCGTCTTCTCAACAACATTCGCCCAGAGGTGCATTGTCATTTGGAAAGAGTACCGAATGGCCGGGGCACCAATTACTGCACCATCAAACTGGTCACCGTAGCGCTGAACCTGGCTCCATCCTTCGCGGCCGCCCTCAGAGCAGCTCTGATAGTAACTGTAGAGCTTTTGGTCTTCCTCGTTGACTGTCATATTAAAGAAATTGCGTGTGAAGCGCTTTCCGATCGTAGCGAGCTCGTGGTGGGCTTCATAGCCGAACATATATAGGTTCTGCCAGTCCAACGTGCCGTTGGCTAGGAGGAGGATCTCATCAACACCAACATCAAACCCTCCAAACCCTCCATCTGTTGAGCCAGAAACAGCTCCATACATCACACCTCCGGGGAGCTGCTGTGTGCCTTGGTTAACATAATAGTCTGCTCCGCCGGTGGAGAGGTAGCGATTGGCAAATTTGTCCGGTGAGGGCAACCAGAAGCGCATCTGGACGGTGTCATCCCGGCCATTGTGGGAGTAGGCCAAGGTGACGTTGCAATAGTCGATCGTGGTGGCGGGGTATACCGCAGAGCCGCTAGTAGAGACGTTGTAGACAGGGTTAGCGGAGAGGTTGGTGTGGCTAATAGTGATCCCAGGATAAACATTATCGACGGGCAACTTAGATCGAACGTATGCAGGGGTGCAAACATCATCGAGAGTGGTGGAAGTGGTGACGGCCTGGACCAGTGTCGCCCCAAGGATGATGACTAGTGGCAGACACCCCATTTCAGATGGGATAACAAGGATGTGTGGAATATAATGATGAGAAGTGACCGAAGTAATCATGCAGGCTATGCTAATACGAAGCAGGGCATGGACTGGCTTTACCAGATTAAGCCAGGCTGTACTAGTAGTATCACCGCGATTCGTATAGCCACCTGACTTCAACGCTCTTTATCAGAGGTGGAAATCTGGTACTTTATATAGTACATGCTTTGGCATTTGCATCGGCATCTCGGGCCCAAGTTTACCTGTTTCATGTCTCCTTAATTATCGAAAATAACTGTTGACACGCGTTGCTCCATCTGAAAGTGCTTGTTACATAGGCATATAGTTTTAGAATGTGGCCTGACGATCCAGGTGCAACGGGGGCTTTTCATGTGGAGAAAGCTTTCCCGCATTTCCCTACTTGGGGGGTTCTTTGCGAGAAGCCGGGTGGGCCTCGGCATTAACCTGGATGTAGGCCCGACAAAACGAACACCGTCCCGCCTGCAGCATCCCCCCTGTGCGATAGAACAAATCATCAATTAGACAAGACATACAGTATTCTGAATTATAATAAGATTATTAGTGATATCCTTATGGGTGTCATCACCGGCAGTACAAGCAGCTGCCTTTCTAAACACCTCGAAATAACTCCACGGGCCCGTAAACTTGCTCGACAGGTTGCGATTGAGAGCAGAAAATGTGACAAAACTATTTTCGTAAAGGCAGATCAAAAACTCATAATTGAAGCTGAGTATACCAGCCCTTCCGCGTGTCACATTACCACATGCGATACCAGTTTATGCACAGCTAAAGTACGTACCTCGCATGTCGCTTTGTCCTTTTGATTAGCCTCCCCACGATGTACTCATTATCTGGATCATTCTAAAGCTCGGTTTCACTGCCTCTAGATCTGCTTTCTCCGGACAGAGCTCCTGTTTATCCCCTTCCAGATCATACCTTTTCATGACCAAGTCTATCTGGCCTCGTAGACTAAGTTCGTTTGCTTGTTTACTCTCCAGACACTCATGCCGACTATAATGGGCAGCTGAATAAAGAAAGAGAGGAAATCAATGAATCGAAAAGGCGGGGTGAAGCTTGTCCGACCCTATTCAGGATAAGAAGATAGTTCAGCAGCATGGCTAACTATCATGAACTTGAGAATATAATAATTGATTATGGCTACTACTAATCTGTGAGATTTCTACTTTCATTGTCTGGTCCATTCATGAGATCTTGACCATATCTCTTGTGCGTGATTATTTGTTTTTGATCTATGACATCTACTCTTATAATACCAACTGTTACTGAGTTCCTAACTTTTTTTCTTTTCTTTTTTCTAAGAAAAAGAGGGGAGGGTAATTTATAAGTTATATGCTATTTTTTATCTTCGACTACCGTGGGGTATGCTATCCTTTCCCGCCAGAGTAGGAAATAGAAGGTATTATTACATGTTTATACTCGTAACTATATATGTTTTGGATTTCTTTTGTTTATTCCAGCTGGACCGTGATTAACTTATCAGTAATTGTGACTATATTTAATAACTGATTCTAGCGAACTATAAGCTAGTAAGGACGAATAAAGAGCATTTTGGTCATGATAACATCTTGTTCTCTTTTCTTGTTACTTCATGTTACGGATAACAAATTTACAATATATTCTTTGATAGATTACTACCTTTGATACCCTGTAGATACTTCCTCAATGTTCGTTTTCGATGCACATACTAATTTCTAAAATGTACATCTTAGCTTTAGGATATTTTGATAATGTTATTATGATAGGATATGTACGATAATAGTTCTTGTGAATGCTACCCGGGAAAGGATGATACAGGCAGTACGGTGATTACGCTACTGGAAGTTCTGGTTAGCGTGCCCAGATCAAAATATTTCCTGACTCAAAAATCGACCCCAGCTTAACTGCCACAAACTGTCTAGCTTGATTAACGACTCCATACTTCTCAAAATATCCCACGCTTCAGGAATCCGCACATAGATACACTAAGCAATATGCTCTCCAAATTACCAGGAGAATTACTGCTCTCAATAACAAGCTTCCTCAATAGCCACACGGATACTCTGCGGCTCGCATCCTGTTGCCGTGCCTTCTACCCCTTTCTCTTACCCGAAGTCTTCACGTCGCTCGACTTGATAGAGCACCGCAATGGCCACTTGAGTCATTTAGTACACACACTCGCATCCAAGCCCTCATTAGCACACGAAGTGCGCACTTTGCGTATTGACTGTGGCTGGCGACCGACTTCCGGCGTGCGATACGAACAGGACGTTATTCTTGAAGTTCTGTCGGCAGCCCTGGGATCCGATGACAACGACAAGATGGCCACTTGGGCCCGAGAGCTGATGAATCGAGAAAGAAACGACGCATGGACTGTTCTGCTTCTGGCTCTCCTGCCCAATCTCGAGGATCTGGTCCTGCAGGTTTGTGATTTCTCCAACTACAAACTTGAGTGGCTGGCTGGCATCGCCCAGAACGGAACATCAAGCCGTATTCTGTCTAGATTGAGAATCCTCAGAGTGGACTGCTCCGATGTAGATGGTGGCCTCAGCTCAGCGCATTTTCTTCCAATCCTTCGACTTCCCTCGTTACGGAGCTTCTACGGCCATATGGTATGTGACGGTGGTAGCTCTGATGAGGAATATGCCGAGGATCAGGATTTTGATGCTGCGAGCTACATTCCGGACAATGTGGGCTACTCGAATGTGACTCATATCCAACTTCTGTCCAGCTGTTCTCGACGCGGGTTTGCAGACCTCATCGGTGCACCCAAAGCCCTCGAATCTTTCATTTTTGAGCATACGCAGAACCCGAATTACGCAGATGATGAAAATATGTACGCGTCACGATATTACCACCCATTGCGCAGACATTGGGCGACATTGCAGAGATTAACCATAACCCACGAGAGTACCAACTTTTATGATTGTTACCAGAGTCACGAGTATGATTACATCGGTTCGTTCGCGGGATTTAGTGTACTAAAAGAACTCCGCCTGCAGGTGACTCAGATACTAGACTGGGACGGCCTAGACACAACATCCAAAAATACACCGAATAATATACTGCCTCTATCGCTGGAACGCCTCATTATTGATGGCCTGGAGAGAGAGCATTTAACTGCACTTGCCATAGCTTTTGAAGACCTGCTTTCAGGAGGAAAGTACCGCTGTCCAAGCTTGACTTATCTTGAAGTTAAAGGAAACTGGATGCATGTCCATCAGTCAACAGAGGAGTCCAACACCAAGCCTCGGCCTATACCTGCTATGTCTGAGGAGTTTGCGGAGTTTAAGATCAGACTCGAGTTGTCATGTTCGGCTGTGGAGATCAAGTTTAACTTGCGTGATTTACATGTTGAAGATATAATCGAGAAAAACCGTTTGTATGTCCTTTGATGAGTTATTTGGTCAGGGGGATCTCTTACCAACCTGAGGATTATATGTAGCCTGCGTCCTTCATCATCTAGTACATATCATGAATGCTCCGGGTGACTCATATCGGGCAAAAGAACATGGGTTCGGTTCTTATCTTTCGTTATGAGCCTGAAACCATTGCTACAGCACTGAGATACAAGACAAGGAACAATAAGCTTGTACCTTACTGGCAAAACATTTATCACCTTCTGTAGGTGCCCTTGAGCAAATGGACCTGTGCTTCATCTGCAAAGAGATTTGCTGTTCCTTTTCTGGAACTGGAAGACTTATTTAAGTATAATATCTGCCGGGTTTCTTTATTTCTTGTATTATTGAATCTTGGAAACAAGTAATCACAGAAGCACTATCCATAAGCCATCAAAAACCACGAATCCACCAATAAGTTCTTCCGAATATTCACCTTATACTCAACAACAACCTGAGCCGTCCGCTGGATATTCCCTTTCGTCCCTGATCCCCAAATGTGTTTTCACGAAGTTTACAGGCGAGCCGGTATCTAAGAAACCCTGCAGTTTTCTGGTATTTGTTTCCGGAAGATAGAACACCTAATTTTTTGGTTAACTTAAAAATCCTTCATAGCCAAGTTCACTTGGTTAATTCATAATCTTGCAACTACAATAAATTATCTTTTCATAATATAAGCATAATTTTGAGTCTGCCATACACATTATAACAGACGGGTTAGAAGAACGAGAAGAGATGTAGCTTCTTTGAATCAGTTATTTATCATAATAGAGCTTAGTCTATAGCATTTTTCCTGATCTGATAGAGATAATATATTTTGGATAGATTCCATAACAGGGCTTTTCCTGTTAATTGAAATACAATAAATTTACCTTATGAGCAAAAGATGAAGTGGCACTTTGATAATATATTGGTTATACTCTGACGTAGTGCAAATGCCCAATGGCCCGCGCCGCGCATAAATTTTGTCATTGCCCTTCCGAGGATTACCGGGGGGGGGGGGGGGGAATCCATGAGTATTTCGAGAAAGAACGACGCCCAGATCTCACCTCGTTTCGCTAGCCGATGAATAGCCACTTCGTGTTGTGGACCCGCTGTGGGGCTACGATGCGACTTAGGGAGGTTGACCCAAGTCTCAGGAATCGGAAAGTGGGCCATCGTACTTGCCTGATGGACATTGAGGATGCTTCTTTCTATGCCTCCGTATATATCCTATTATAATAACGGCTGGGCCAGAGTTTTCTCTACTCAAAGCGTGAACTCAGGTGCTGTTTTCGCATATTGATATAGAAGCTTTCACACTTCCGTTGCCGGCATATCCTACGATTTATGTTCACGATGGCTTCTCAGAACTGGCGCTCTGGTAAATGAGTTGCAATCGTCGGAGGAGGTCCGGAATCAATTTCGGCCGGCCTTGCCTTCATTCAGCGCGGCTATGATGTGCGCATATTTGAGCGACAACCAATGTAAAGCCATAGGCGGCGCTGTTCTTCTGTCTACTCCCGTCCAGGCGATCCTCCGATCCTACGGCTTGAGCCTCGACAAAGTTGGCTCATACACAGTCACCTACTTCAAAAACAAGTCCAGAACGGTGCGCGTCAAGCTACCGTTTAATCCTGCTGTCGAGCAGCGGATGGGTATCAAAGGCTGGCATTACAGGGTGCTTCGTTCCTCCAACTTCAAAAAGATGCTCGTCCTTGTCCCCGATGGTGTAATCACCGCGGTCCATGAGTTTATATATTATACTGAGACTGAAAATGATATCGAACTCCACTTTGGAAACGGATACCAACGTAAGGTCGATATCCTCGTCGGCGCAGATGGTAATCGATCAAAGGTTTCACAACAGGCTTTTGGCGACCCTCACCTATTTCACACCGGAATTCGTCTTTGGCTCGCCTGGTGCGATTACATTCCCGATATCCCTCCCAATTATGGTGTTGTTTCTCATGACTACCAGCACCAAACCAGCTTTTTTCCAATGCTGCATGTGGGGAAGTCCAGGTTTGAGTGGTGGGTAGTAGAGCCGTCTTGGGAGGGGAAGCCTGTCCCGGAAGACCCAAAGGCATATCTTATGGAAATTTTAGAAGACTGGGCACAGCCAATGCCTCGTTCTCTAGTGGCCACTAACTTTGACAGGCAGATTTATTGCTGGGAAATCTATAATTGATCTTCTATGAAAAAATGGTCTACAGGACGGGTGGTATGTGTTGGGGATGCTGTACACCCAGTGTTATCTTATGCCGCGTACGGTATGGGAATGGCGGTAGAAGACGGGTACTTCCTTGCCAGAGCGCTGGATGGGGTAGACTTACGTGACCTGCGGAGAGTCAAGGCTGGGTTTGAGATTTACGAAGAACAACGAGTTGACTATGTTAATCACAACAAGGACTTTGTTCGTTTCCTTGGCAAGGGTATTTCACGCGGTGCCGTGACCCCTCGCTCAAATTTGTAATTTGATCTTTGACCACACCCCAATTCTGAGGAGATTCCTTGGGGATGGCTACCTGAAGAAGGCCGAGCAGGAGACACTTAACTTGAAGGAGCTTCAAGTGGCTCCTTGAAAGCCCTGCATACTCAGGAAATCTTCTCAAGAGCCAAACTAACTAGTTTCGAGCAGGCTGAAAGCGGAGGAAGGTAGCGCTCATTGAGAACAATGACAAAGAGTGGGAAGCATGGGTCACTATTTTTTCTAAATAGGTTGCTCTTATTGATCCTGCTACACTTGATATTTGAGAGTCCTGGTTTACCTTCTTTCTTTGATGGGAATAGTATATTCGATGTTTTTCATTTCATTTACTGGATTATTCTAAACCTGAAAGTTGAGTGGGTCTTGGCGTCTTCATATATCTAGTCTGGCTTGGGGCTTAAGACGCCTTCAGCAAGGAACTATAGCCGCTGCAGCGCGCGGACGGCGGACTCCGTGGCAGACCGCAAGCGGAATCTCACGAGCGGATGGCTACCAAATATCGAATTACCGCACCACAAAAACTGGCGGATTTGATGACAATGGCTTCGCTCAGGCATGACAACTACACAGTTTATAGTCCTTGCGTTTTGAGGATAGCGGACATCGTTCCAGTCCCTGTGGAGCCTTTGTGCAGTTCGGCAAAGTGAGCGGTGGCGACTCAAAAAAGAGACCGTAGACTAGACTACTGGTCTCTTAAAATTTGTAGCCAATACGCTCCGCCAAAGTGATTTTTAAGTTGATGAGGCGACGACTTGGCTCTGCCACCCGATTGGCAGGCGCGATGACCTCCTCCCCACCTGGATTCCGGCACGTCAAAGCCCGATTATTCAGCGGATTTATCCGATTAACTATTGAGCGTGGGAGAAGGTATAAAAGCTCAAGCCTCGCAGGTGTTGGTTGTAATATCTGTACACACACACACACCCACACACACAAATTCATTTATTTATTATTGGCGCCATGTCTGTGACTTCGACTAACGGCGATGGCGGCTCCTTGCCGTTCGATATTTCCGAATACCCGAAGCTGTCTCTAGAACAGGCAGGCCACCTCCGCCATTTCTACAATATCAGCTCTGCGACGGATGGAGAATGGCCACACATGGGCTCTCAGGAGCCTGCGCAAGAGTTCCTCGATGCGTATAGGTATCAGCTTGCAACGATGGTGTATGCATCAGGGCTGACACACTACCACCGCATGCCTGTCATGCGTGGCCTCTTTAAGCCCCTTATCCGCCGCCTCATTAAGAAAATGCTGCATCGGGACGTGTGGAATTATTGGTACCTGAGTTCCCAGTCAGGTATTTTACTTGATCCCGATTTGAAAGAGCTTCGTCGACCGTGGGCAGACCCAGTTGTCCGAGAGAATATCATGTATAGTGGCCACCTGCTTCTCATGACGAGTCTCTACGCTATGTTATTTGATGACGACGAGTTCGAGAAACCGGGAAGCCTGACTTTCGAGTGGAAACCACTATTTTGGGGAATGGGTCCGGAGACATATGTCTATGACAATCGGAGTTTGCAACAGGCCATAATAAAGGAGATGGAGCGAAATGGTTGGGTTGGCGTTTGCTGTGAACCTAATCTGGTCTTTGTTGCGTGCAACCAGTTTCCGGTGAGTAGCCTGAACTATGAACATCTGGAACTGCTACTAACTCTGATAGATCATTGCTATGCGCCTCAATGATGCACGTGATGGTACTAAGGTGGTAGATGAAGTTCTTAAAAAATACAGGGCCGCCTTGGAGAAGAAGGATATGATTTCTCAGCATGGTCTATTCAAAGATTGGATCAGCGTAAAACAGGGTCATACAGCAACTGCCCAAAGTGTGGGCCTCACGGCTTGGTAGGTGTGATTCAGAATATCACATTTTTCTATGCTAACATTAATCCAGGGCTTCTGCGTTTATGAATACGTGGAATTCGGAATTTGTCCGCGCTGGCTTCGAAAATCATGCTGTTGGGTTCATCACAAACATCGACGGACAAGTTGAGCTTCAACATCCCATGGTCGCAGGTGCTTACAGGGCAGCTCTGGCTCAAGGAGACGCAGCCAAAGGCCCATCCCAAGTTCTACAGGGCGCGCGTGAGTTCTATAAAGCCAATAAGTCGAACATCAACTTTCCATACAACGAGCCAACTTTCGGGTATGTTGTTAAATGGCTCTCGGAGTTGGGAAAGGCAACAGAACTAAATGGAATTCTTACATACGCTGATAAACACCTCCAACCAACCTGGGAAAATGGTGGTCTTTACTATCCTCGGAATGACCAAGCAACTGATAATGAAGGTCGCTGGACTCACATGGACCCCTTCTCGGGTAACACTGCTATTGGCTACTCGCGGTTGAATGTCGAGAATGGCCAGAAGAAAATCTTCGAGGAGCCTTGGACAAAGGAGACACTGGCTAGTCGTCCATACGTGGATGGGCTGGATCTCTCACAGGGCGTTGATTGCTTGCGAGGATTGTGGGATCAGGATCGCAGCGCCCTCGTTGTCACCGTCCGTGAATGGCCTGGACAAGGGGCTAACATCAAGTTTAGGGTCGAGAATCTCTCATCTGGTACCTGGACCGTTTATACTTCCCAGGGGCGCTTCGATGAGCATGAGGTCCTCAGCGGGGGACATATTGCCGTAGATGCGATTCTTAAAGCAAAGGAGGAGGTTGATTTTGTGGTTGTCAAAGGTGTTTAGTGTAACAAGCCGAGAAATTATAATCACTAAGCAATAAGAAAGAAGCCCGTGTAATCTATTAGAACCAATGAATCTAGAGAGAAAAAAAAGGGGAACTATCTAAATCCAGAGAATCGGACCATTTTTTTTTTCATGTTTTTATAACCAACTACCTGCCTGGCAATTTTTTTTTTCTTTTACCTCTTTGGTGAGTCAATTGTTTACTCAAGTCCCTCAGCTTCTTTTGTGATAGCAAGTAGCGCTCAGAAGCACCTCGCTATATCACATGACATAGTTTTATTTGCTTTGTTCATTTCATTTTATTCACTTGTCTTAGAGTGGTTAACCGCCAGGATAGAATAGTCTGATAGGAAAATTTTTCTTCTTACCCGTTTTTATTTTATATAATTAATCAATACTATAATAAGATAGCTGAATTTTTTTTTTCAGTTAGTTTTATTTCTAAATTCTTTGAATATACTGGTTCTGTCTGTGAGAGCCGATCAAATATGTCTTATTTGGTGCATCTAGACTACAATATCGAACGTAAGTAGGGAAAGAAGGAACTGTGGGGTAAACAACAAAGGTAAGCGAACGAAGCGAAACAAACAAAGCAAACAGATCTACATTATGTGATCCGGTCACGTGCCTCCGAACGCCGCTCGCCATCACACTGTAACTAGAACCAGAGTGTAAATGAGGTATTTCTTAGCGTTTGATTAGGGATATAAGGTACTGGGTGGACTAATACAGTAGCCACATGGGCGAGTGAAGGAATATATATTATAAGAGATTGATTTACTTGATATACTGCTTCAGAGTGCTTCTGTATTGATGCCCGTTATGCAAGCGTAATAGTTTCTTTATTTAATTGTGACACCTGCATGTCAAAAGTGACCATCCGCACATGGTCGACAGGACCCGTGAGAGTCAGGTGACATATCAGGGATATTGATCGTTGTTGAAAAAATATAGAGACCCAAGACTGATAGGAATCATGTCTCATTTCAATACTAGTCAGCAACTGCTATAAATATTTTTGTCCACTTCTAATCCACGTGCGGCTATTCTGTCTAGGCAGAAATCCATCCAGATGGAAGCCTACAGTGTGCCAGGGGCCGCTGCGGCAAAGCTATGCTCGATCCAGTTTACACGACAATCTTATTGGGCTCGGCCCCCCTATCAACATTAACAGACATATATCTGTCAATTCAGGGCTCACTCAGCATTTAAGTTGAGGTACATCCTGACTTTGATGTAATAAATCGCTCATGGAACATGGTTTCTATCACCGTTCTCCCAAGTGAGCTCCTCGCTTACATCATCTCATTCCTTGACCGGTCGTCCCTAAAGGCTATCCGGGAAACGAGTCACCTCCTCTCACATTTTGCTACTCCACGGCTATTTGACACTCTGCGTCTGTTTCCGGACGAAGAGAGCTATGAGGCTGTCGATCGCATTACGGATCATGCAACACTGAAGAAAATGGTCAAGAAGGTGTACATCAATACATGCCAAAATGACTATGTCAGTCCACGTCTATCCCCCGCGGGCCGAGCGCCGCACGCTAACAGGCCCAGGACGACTATGACGAGGAGGAAGTCGCATTGACCAAAGATTTCGAGGACAGCATTGCCAACCTCACAGACTGCCCAAATGTGCAAAGCGCTGTCTTGCGGTTTGACAAGCATTGTAGCACAGGCCGCGTAGAATGGATGAGAGACAGTCCAGAAACCATCGCCTTCCGCACAAAAACCATCCGTGTATTCTTTGAATGGCTGGCCTCGCTTAAAGCACCTCTGCGCGAACTCGGGATTCGTAACATGCAAGATATGAATGTCGGCGATGAAAAAATATCTGCCAATATCGGGGAAGCGCTGCAGAATCTATGTACTCTCCGACTAAGCATCGTGACAGAGCACAATGACGCCGCCCCGGAGGATGACCTTGACTTCCCTGAGCCCCATGACTTCTTCGCGCAACTTCCATCCATGTGGCTGAAACCCTCCGCCTCATCTCTGCAGCATCTGACTCTCTCCTGTGACAACTACTTCGGCTTGTACCCAAAGCTGGAACTAAGCGAGGTACATTTTCCGCATCTTAAATCCCTCGCGTTTGGTAATTATTGCTTTGTGCGGGACTCTCAGCTGGAATGGATTCTCTCGCATGCAGCCACATTGACTGATCTATCCTTCGACGACTGCGCAATATTATACGACGTGTGCCTTGCCGAGGAGCATCTCCACTGGGGACCCTTCCAAAAGAACGAGATGGAGACCCGTCAAGAGCCAGATGGCCAGGTGCGCGTGGAGTATTACTGCTCTTATAATAAGCGGTGGCATGATTACTTCGACTCCTTCCGAACAAAGTTACCTTATTTGAGGCAGTTCCTGATCGGAAGCAATGACTGGGGTAACGGCGTCCCATTTGAAAAGGAGGCTGAAGTCAAGATCTGTTTGCGGGAAAATAGGTACATGGCCTGCTATGATGGGTACGGACCCAGCCCGTATATCGAGCATGACTATGGACGCTTCGAGTGGGAAAGGACAGCACCCAAGTGCGATGGAAAAGATAGGGACTCCTTATGCCTGCTCTTTGAGAAAACGGGACAGAGAATTGTCAAGATCCCATTCTTGAGTTCATTCCAAGGTTATATCAGCGAGGACTAGAAAGTCAAAGTCGGATGTTGCTCAAATTCTGACTTATAGGAATATTCCTCTCCCCCAAAAAATTAATTTTGATCACACGACATCCGATGTCATTTTCAGCGATCTGACATGGCTTGGATAATAGGAATACTGAGTAAATTAGTAACTGAAGAGTAGGCCTCGGAAAAGACCGCAAAGTCCAAGGACTACCGCAGCAGACTTGTGCCGCACTAGTCTATAGTCCTGAGTCCAAGGACCGCCGGGCGGTCCTAGATTATTATAGACTATACTGTTACAGTTTGATACAGTTCTGTAGTCTTATAAATAAACTAAACAGTTCTATATCTATAATATATATATATTATACGTAATTGGTCTGTATTCTTTTATATTCTTGTGATAGGATCTACTTGTCAGGGTAGAAAGCCTGTTAACTAGGTAATGAGTCAGCTACTAAACACCATAGATTCGCCTAGTAATGACAAAGATAGCCTATATCCACGTAATAGACCGATTCTTGGAGATTAGTAGTATAATATAATCAATTACTATTTTCAAGCACTCGGATGGGTATGGAATTATTATTAATAATGTTATGATTTCTTCCCGCATAGAACTGTACCTCTTTGGTATGTTTAAAAGATACAAACTAGATTATTTTTATTATAAATAGTATCTTCCCGCCGGTGCCGGACTACGTGGGGCGGTTATCATGGATAACTTTATAATTACTTAAATGATAAAAATAGAATATAAACCAGTAAAGCGCGAGATAATTACCTGAGGCAGACTATAAGATTAGTATTGTATATCTTTAATATATAATATTAACACTGTTATATATAATTACTAATATCAATTATATTTATAATTTATATTCTATAATAATATTTTTTCAGAATAGTTCTATTATCCGTATTACTGTTATTATTATCTTACTTAGTATAAGATGGATGTATTTAGTTGGATAATTAGTCATAAATTATGATTATAATAATATTATATTTTTAACTTTAAATAATAATTAAATAAAATTGATTATTGATTATTGTCTAGTAGGGAAATCTTCATAATAGATTTATATATATTAATTAAGATTTGAACGGAATATTATCATTTTTAAATACTTATAACTCTATAGAAAAATTGATTTAGTGAGAACTGTATTAATATATTCCATGTATGAGGTATTATTAAGTAATACCAGTTCTAATTTATTAGTTATTATTTGACCACTGTCCTGTTGTGAACATTTACCTACTAGAAGCTTATCTGACATCATTTGATCGTTATCCCGTTGTGAAGATTTCCCTACTAGAAGAAGGAAGTAGATGAGGCAGAGCACTGAGGTCAATGGATATATAGATGTTGAAGAGGACTTGGGGAACCCTAGGCAAATGCCCAAGCGGACCCAAGCCCTCGATATATACAGACATGAGATATATAAATACGTATTATTAACCACCCCTACTGCTCACAAGCGGTGGGGCGGCTCCCACATAGCCATCGACTACGATAGACTGGGACGGCGAATGAATAATACCGATTACCGAAACTAGATACTAGGGTTCAACAGGTCAGTGTCTACCTAAGCTACGCTAACTATTACTGTAAATAAGTTTGTATTTGGCAAAACTATGTCCATGCTTTACATATGGCTTCGCCTCCAAATATCAATTAAAGTCGGTCCACATTCCTGCTCTGAGAGTAAAGCGATTGCGTGCAAAACGCTGTTCCCCAATACAAGAGCATTCAGAGGCATTGGCCTATCGATAATGCAACTTCCAGGATATACCATGCGGTACACAAGGTGAAAAAATCAACTAAAAGTCAAGCCCCGCCTGCAGCAGACACCATGTTCGCACGTTTATTCTATAAAAAGTTAATTTTGTCCTCGCAGATTTCCAGTAAAAAAAAGAACTCACTTCCATGAACACTGCGCAAAGCAGGCTGACTCCAGCCCCAAAACTCACACAAGTAAATCTTAAGATATTAGTTTATATATACCACAAGAAAGAATGAGCGAAGAACCCCGCTTACAGATAGCGCCAAGCGTGCACGATTATATCCAACGCCCGGTCTCGAACAGTATATGGAAGTTTGTTTAGTAGCGCACTGCTGGTTCCCGAGACAACTTGAGAAACCTGCTCCCGGGATAGGTTGGGAAGCAACTTGAAAAGGCCATTCTGGGCGACATTAACGAAAATTGCACCTGTGACGGATAGTCCAATGGTCATTCCAAGGAGTTGAGCTGGTTTATTGTAAGAGATTTTCCGAAACAAGTACTGGATTAGACGAACCTAGCAGCATCAGAGTAAGACCATCAGCAGCATCGGAGGGGGCTACGACGGCCTGGATCACAGCAAAGGCTGCCTGAGTATATGAACCGGCGCCTAATCCAATTACAATTTCAAGTCCGTAGAGAATGGCCG